CAGCTTTAAGTCATAGTTTCCTTTCCTCAGTCTTCCAGATTTGATTCTTACCCCTTAGATAAATTACCTTTCTACCAACCTCTTCATGTTTTGGTCCAATTTGTGGGCCAAAAAGATTCTGAAACGGGTATAATATAACCAGGGTACATATTTTAGGAAGGAACCTCATAAGTTTTAATATTGAAAAGGGTATAATATAATCAGAGTACATATTTTAAGAAGGAACCCCATAAGTTTTAATATTGAATCACAATGAAGGAATACTGTAATCTTTAAATACTTATCTCAAGGAAAGAGACCAAAGATAAAGGGGAAAGAGAATTTAATTCCTATTTTCTACCTTTATAATTGTTTGACTTTTTCCTTTTAACCTTGTCCATATACTATTTTCATAATCATCTTGCTTTAACTTTAAACTAGCCATATGGTAACAGGATGGGCTATCTTTTATTAGTTAGCATATATTTTCATTTATTAGTTGACAGAGTATATGGATTATATAGGGTCTAAACAGGAAATTCTGAAGTTGTAGGTATAAGTTCTAGTTTTAGTTCTAGACTCTACCGGTACTTAATCATCTTCCCATATAATGACACCTAAATAGTTAGTCCAATGTAAGAGTTACTCTAATATATGTCAGACAAACACACTTTATATTCAGTGACTGCTTGACGAGAGAAAACACAGGAACCCAGATGCCATAATGGTTACACATTGGGCTGTGATCCTTAAGGTCATTTCAAAACCAGCAGCCGCTCTCTGGGAGAAAGATGGGGCTTTATACTCCCATAAAGAGATACAACCAGGGAAACTCAAAGGGGCAGTTCTACCCTGCCCAGTTGAGGGGGGTGGGGAGAAAACGCCCTATATAGACATGTATGTGTATATATGTATATGTGTGTGTATATATACGCTGTGTTGTATTTTGGGAAAGCATTAGGGTTTCTATGACGTCACCATGAGAATTGACTCGAAGGCAGTAAGTGAACGATGTTGTGCGTTACAAATTAGGTTTTGTATTATATGTCGATATGAATATACAAGATGGCTTCAAAAAGTTCATAGCAAAAAAGTATATTATCTTTTCGTTTCCATTTTTCCATGAACTTTCTGAAGCCCCCTCTTACATACATACCAGTTGCAGTTGAGCTGGTTCTGACCCTTGGCACCCCTGTGCGTAACAGAGTAGCTCTGTGCTCCATAAAGTGTCCAGTGGCTTTTTCCCCCAGGTGGATCACTACACTTTTGCTCTGAGGCACTTTGGGGAGGACTCAAACAGCCAGCTTTTTTATTAATAGTTGAGCACTTAACCATTCTTGCCACCCAAGGATTCCAAAATCTAGAAGTAAACATCATATTGAACTTGCACTTTTCAAGCATCAATAGGCCCGACACCTATCATAATGAAATTTTGATAGTCACTTCTTGTTCTCTAATGAATTTCATTTTCCTGCTATCTTAAAGGTTTAATCAGTTTATCTGAGTGTACAAAATTTGCTTCTAATATGATCATATTTCATGATACTCTATTGCATGGAGCATAAGAATGAATGATTTTTCTACTCCAGTATTACATTAGACTATTGGCTATGTATGTATGCATGCTGAGAATTTTGTTTTTAATGAACCACCTTTGTTTCTTTGGATATATACCTAATGGGTGCTTTACAACCACGTGTGACAAAGCACATACATAAAACAAATCCCTGGCAGGGTGGAGAGGAGTTAGTGGGCTGAGTCAATCTGTGAGCCTCTCATTATCAGTTTTTTTCCATTTAGAGTGTCTATTTTTGGGGGAGCATATTTGTATTGCTTCTTATATAACAATGGATGAGTATCAGCTCTCAAAGCTTATTGAAAGGATACATTTTCTGTTGTCTTTTTTTTTTTTTTAAAGAAATGTGTAGCAAGGCCAGCTTACAATTCCCAGCATGTCCTTGTGGGATTAGGAGAGAGAAAAAAATCAAGATGACCGAGGATATTTTTACATTAGTTTAAGAGGCATTAGTTGTATTTTTCAAATCATTTTGTTTTAAAGGACCTGCCTTGAATTTGCAGGTCCTGTAAAATACAGAGTATCCATCAGTGTGAAATATGGTTTTCTTTCCTTATTTCCTTTTTCTGAAAAAAAAAAATCGTACACGTGGTCTCATAGCAAAGTAGCATTCATTCGCGAAGTTTCAATAAAATGTACCACTGCGGCCAACGTTTAGAATAGTTGGAGGATTGACAAGGGTCTTGTGTCATATAGTGCTTTTTTAAGTCATGACATATTTGGTGTGCTGTCGTGGATTTGTCTTTCTCTTGTTTAACCACAAAACAGAAAATGAACCTCTTTTGTATTGTTCCATTCGTATTCCTCTGTGCTCATTTAGAAGTCTGACACTTCCTTTGGCTGACAGATTAAAGGGCCTTTTGTGGGACCTTTTGATGACTCACAAAACAGTTTTCTTAGACTAAGCTCCTTAGGCTATGAGAACTCCTCTTCAGAAATTGAAATTTCGTTTCAATTGGTGTACCCTAAAATTAACCAGTAATTTACTCATTTTCCATGACAAGATTACTGGGAACTTAGTAATTTAACAGCTTTATTTTATTTCTTTTTTAAAAAATTATTGATAAGGGAAAGAGAAGGAAATCTGTAAAACAGAATATCCAATCAATAAGTTTTAGATTGTGGTGTTGATCATTTAACTATGTGGCCCTTATCTAGCATCCCATTACAGTATTTTTTCTTCCTTTATGAGAAAGCAGTGTTTATTATCCCAGGTGACAAAACACAGGGGGCGGGGCAGGGGAAGGGGGAGTAGAAAGGTTGCATTTAATCACTAGAAGCACATGATCTATTTGCTTTCTCGCTCTCATTGCTAAGCCAGAAGCCAGTTGGCCGTGAGTGAGAGTACAAACAGGCTTTCTCAGGTGCGCATCTCAGGTCACACAGACCAGAGGGAACAGGTGCAGCACTCACGAAAAGATAAATGTTAAATAATTCTTTGTGACACTTCACTAGATAGCTAGAGCAGGAATTTTGAAACACCATTGCACTGCTGGTCAAATATTTACTAATTGAACCTGCGAAGGAAGAAATTTTGTCCTCTGAAGGTAAAAGAATTCCTTGTCTTTTTCCTTCTTCAAACAGTATCTCAAAACACCCAAGAGAAGAGCCAGGTCTGTCTGAGAAAGAAAGATGAGCCTTGCTTATGGAGTTTGGACGTGGGCTTCATTAAGGAAACACACTTTAGCCTTCTTGCATGGCAAAACATTCTTTTATGTTACGTGACTGTTTATTTAGGAAATGACTTACCAGTTGAGTAGATTAGAATGTTTACTACTAGATTGCTTTCATCCGTCTCTGAGGCTGTGTTAACGCTGCCCGTTAACTTCACCGCAGTAATGCTAGGGAGGTTATTAAACATGAGCGTAACGATTTACAGGGAAGTCAAAAAATGAGGTAGGTATTCAGAACTCAGTTTGTCTGAAATGTTTGGACCTGTGAGGCTGCAGACTTTTTCAGTTTAGCATGAATAGTTACACATCTATGAAGTTTGGAAGATTTTGTGAAAGAACATTCTTAGGAAGGAGAAAAACTTTGAAGAGAAATCACCCTGAAGGAGTAGCAGTTATAACGATATTACTGGCACCTTGTATTTTGCATTCTCTATATTTGACAAGGTTTTCTGATAAGTGAGACATTTTGTCATTTTTCTTCTTTGATTTTGAAGCGAGTGCTTCTATTGCATTGACCAGTACTGCTGACAGCATTCATTCATTTAGGCTTATAGCTCAAGCAGTAATTTAGTCGTTTCCTCTCTGGAGGCAGGGGAGTTAATGAGAAACACAGATTAGGATCCAAGATCTTTTGAGATGAAGATAAGGTGCCCTAAGAGAAAGCTTATGGTCAAAATGAAAGATTGAGAGAATAATGATACTTTTTTCTGAGGAGAGTGTTGAATGAAGCAAACACATTTTTTCAGACTTTCTGTATAGCTATAAATAGTCAAATGTCTCTACTTATCTGAGCATTGTAATGCAATGTCATCGTTATGCTAGTCTAATGATTGATCACACATTTTGTGTACACTCTCGTTAGAATATGTATAGAAAGACAGAGCGTCCACATAAAGAAAAATTGCAGGGTGAATTGGGATCTCTTTTTGTTGTGGTGGTTAACGGAGGATTTATATGTGAAAAATGATTGTGAAAGAAAAGACGCATTCAATATCCTACTTTGGTGAAACTATATAAAAAGCCCGTGGAACAAACCATCAGACCATCTTGTCGTGGCACAAATCCAGCATCACGGCCCTGGGCCCCAGCCCCACTTGGGTGTATTTTCAAAGCCGGTTGCTGGCATTGAAATGTGGCTGCAGTGCTTGAATCCCTGCAGGACTCTTGGAAAACTTACTGCCACTTCCCAGTGACAAACCCTTCAGGGAAACGCTCTGAAACCTGAGGAACATGAGGTCTGTTTTATTTAATTTCCTCTCATTTACCAAGAGTCATCATCTATTTTAGTAAATAAATTCAGGAAATTGGTAAAGCACTTTACTCCATCCGTTATTTATCAGTAATTAACATGATTGTCACGTTTTTCCTGGCTGTGGCGCGGCTGCCTTGCTCACAGCTTCCCTCACATGCCTGCCTGCGACCAGTTTGGAACGTTCAGGTCGTGGGTGTTATTGAGTTTAAACTACTTAAACAAACAGAACAGCGTCGTTGCTTTTACAGAGCTGTACACATCCTCTCCTGAACATGAATAAAGTTTTCAAACCTTAAGAGATACTCTCTCCTGATGTTGGCATGATTTTCAAATCCCCCTTTTCACCCATGACGACTTGGCACGCTGGGATAAAAGCAGTGACAATTCATTCAAAGATGCCAGTGTCCTCATTCTCCAGCCTTCCTGCTTACTTTCCACCTCCACCCACCCCCGCTGCTACAATACAGTTTCTCTTCCCAGCTCCAGTTTCTCACACAGTAAAGCGCATTTGTTTTCCTACCTTCATCAGCCATTGGGTGTTGTTTTCCATGATATTCTCCAGTACTTGCAGTCTCTGCACCGAATCATCGTAATCTAGTGGTGCGTCCCTCTGCACAGCATTAGAGACGTAGGCGCTGGAAGAGGAGCGGCAGTTGTCCATCTCCGGCAGGAGAAAAGTGTAGCTGCACGATCCATGCTGAACCTGATACTGCCTTTTCCCTATGCTGTCCATGCTTTTCCGAAAGTTGGTGTAGGCTGCCGCTAAGACAAGATCACAGCTCAGAGCAAAGCAGACAATCTGCCACATTCTTCCTCCTCGTGATAAAGCACCAGTTCACCAAAGTGGAAGGCACACGAGAGTCGAGAATGTCAGCTGCCCGTTAAAATGCTGGGCTACGCTGCTACCACGGCTGAAAGTTGATCAATGAGAGTCTTCTTTTTCCTCCTCCTTTTCAAGGAGCAAAGTTGCTTTTTAAGGCTGTGTTCTCTCCAGTCATCCAGTAAACTGTCAGATTCCAGTAGGAAGAATAATCCTGCTCACTGTTTAGCTTTACAGATCAGCTTTGTTTCTCTTTTCCCAGATTCTAGAGTGTCAGTATCTGAATCAATCACTTTCCTTTCCTTATATGATAAGTTGATAAGAGCAGCCAGACTTGTGTAGCCAGCTGCCCCGCCCTCTTGGCTTATCCATTATCTTCCTGTGGGGGGGTTACCAACCAGGCAACAGGAAAAGTCCGAGCATAATGCTGCTGTCCGACCAGGACTATGTGCTGCAGAACCCCTCTGGGAACAGCTCATCAGTGACAGGACCCCTGGGGCTTTCGTAGGCACCACCCTAATTAAGTATTTCCTAGAGAGAGCAGGCTGTCCCTTTTGTCTGAGACCAAGTTCACAGCATTAAGCTGGTAACATATCTGAGGTAATAAACTTTTATTTTAAAGTACAATGAAAGTTCCTGTTTTTTTCCTTCAGGAAAAAATACTGTAAATATATCAAGACTTGGGTTTATTTTTGCTATTAAAAATAAAGAGGCAGAAATATTGCTCTTAATAAACTCTGAACCTGTTGATAAGGAAATGGTTTTATTTGTCGCCCCTGGTTTTTGAAATATATTAGCTAAGTATGCAGCATTTTTATTTTGAAACTGTTTGAAAGCTTGCTTTATCATTGTAGAGAGTGACGTGGATATGTAGGGCCAACAGAGCACAATCCAATGGGAGGTTCGACTGTGTACGGCAAAAACCCAGGGTTGTGGCTCAAGGTGGGAACGTGCTCGCATAGTCCCCTCATACAGACAGCGTCTGGAGTGCTGTGTCATTGGGAACGTTGACCATGTTCTGAGTGCAATCGTCGTATACCTCACAGGGATGATTGACAATGGTGTACTTTTTTTTGTTTCTATGAGGTTTTGTTTCTCTGCCTTTAGCTTGTTGTTTTTTTTTTACTATTTGCTTGTTGGCTTGTTGCTATTAATGGTGTAGTTTGCCTGTAGGGTTTTGATTTTGCCATATTACAGCTGCCAAAGTAAACCTGAGTCCTGCATATCCCATGGGCAGGCACATTTATTCTGGGTTCCTACTTAACTCTAGCCCCAATTCAAGAACAGTTAGTTCTGATCACATGATCCTCCTCAATACTCACCTTCACGGAATGGTCACGGAAGATAAGGGTGCTACTGCAAAGTGTGGTGAAGAGAACAGATGGTGCCCGCCATCACTTGGAATAGTATCTGGGGACTTTAAGGCTTTTATTCAAACAAGCAGCCAAACAAGCAGTCAACTAAGTTCATAAAGAAGAAGCACATCAGCTTCTGTGTTCCAAAGATGACAATAACAAAATTCGGGTATGACCAAGGGAAAAGTATCTGAGCTAAAATTGTGAACACCCACTTTATGGGTGGACAGTGGGAGCTATGGAGGACAGTGGGAGCCCAAAACCCATCTGCGGAATAGCTAGTCAGATTAAGCTGTGGCAGATCCCGTCTAGCCAGAGATACAGGTTTGGAACAGCCTTACTATCAGAGATCACTGCAATCGTGATTATGCTGGATCAAACTCAAAACTTAGTCAGTTGACCTCCATTAAACTTACCAACATGAATTTGTTCTAGATGTAAGTATCTCTTGTGTGTTTCATGACAAAAATCTCTTCCCTGGCATTTTAAATATTGATGGTGGTCTTTTCTTTCTTACTCCTTGTTGGTATTTTTATCTTTATATTACTATTGTTTTAGCCTTACCATCTTATTTTGATTTTGTTCTTTATTGTTTAACTTAGGTTTCCCAGTTTGCACGGGTTTATAGGGGATGTAGGTGTGGAGTTGGAAGATGTTGTGGGAGTGGGTTCTGCCCTTGCCACCTACAGGCAAGGGTGTGGATATACTCACCACTGTGAACAAAAAGTGCAATATGGAGGTGACATCTAACTCGGATGCACCAGAGGGGGGAGGATAAGCCCCATCCACACAATCAATTGTCCAAGACTGAATCCTGAGCTGCTGAAGTCAGATATGCCTCCACCCTTCAACTTTCTTGGCAGCACTGACAGCAACTCTCCCTTCCACAACTCTCTCCGTTGGTGAGCTGGGTTCACTAATTGAGTACGCTGGCCGCAGAGAACTCCTAGAACATATCCATGATTATGGAGTTTTTTAGGGCCGTTAACAAGTTCCAAATGTTTAGGATACAATTATTCAAAGATCACAGCCTTTACCCTACTAGTGCAGTGTTACAGGGTTTTAGAGTTGCCAGTAAATGCTCAAAAGACACACCATTCCACCATAAGCCTCAGCCCAAAGGCATGCAGCTCCAGGCCCATGGGTCAGCAAACCTAGCTCCCCCAGTTAAATGCCTGGAGGCACCCCAGTCCACAAGCCAGCCTCCTACCTGAAGGCACTCACATTGAGCTGCTCTGCCTCTTGGTTCTGCTGCTGCCACTCTTCTGCTCCTCCTCTGTTGCTTCTCTGGTGTCACAGCGGTCTCCTAGATCTCGGGGTCCAAAGCACATGCCCCACTCCTGGCTCTCTCTTGATGGTGGTAAGACAGCACTTCCTCCCTGTTTGTTAGATGGCTTATTTTATACCCATTGGGATGGCAATCACAATCATCCCAGTTAATAAGCACTCGCAATTGAAACAGTCACTCTCAACGAAATCACGTAACCTGTCAGCATCTTTCCCCACCTTCTCTTGATAGGACCTTCAAAGACTATGGATAAAAGAGCCATATTAAGTAATGCACTGCCTTGCAGACCACCCTCTTCTGGCTCTTTTAACCATTGCCCCTTTCATAAATGAAGGATTAACCTTCAACAGCACAGCAATGAAAGCTTGTAAGCTAGCCTCTTCATTGCCTTTATCTCCCTCCATTTTAGATATACATTTTCTAAATTGCTCATCTTTATCAGCCCAGTTCTCTACAAGAGAAACGTAGTCTTTGATGTGAAGAGTCTTCATTTACATTTGGAACTTTGACCATCTACGTACATAAGCCAAGTCTAGTCAAGAGCAAGCCATCAAGCTGCAGCACTTTATACCAGTTCCCTGTCAAGCCCCTTTCTCTTCATTTATTTGGATTCAGGTCAGCCATAGCCATCCAAGCTAGGTCAAATGAGTACCAGCATCAAGCTTGGGAGTTCACACACTTCTCCCTTAAGTTTCCACCAGCTGGTCCCTTCACACCCTCTCATCATCCCTAGCTGCCCAAGCTAGTTCACTACCTATAGGCTCAGGATCCACACAACTTCATAAACTTCAGAGGAATCAGCCCTCCCTCTCCTTAGGTTTAGGGTTAGGTGGATCACATAAAAATGTGCCAATGGAACATGTATGCCCCTTTGTTTTTCTCTCAAGTTTCATGTTTCCATGACTGAAGCCATTGTAACACATCCTACTCCTGATGCCAACTGTGGAAAGTGTGATATGGGGCTGGCATCTGACCTCCTCCAGGTAGGGGTGGGTAGGGAAATCATAAGTATCAACTGATTTCTATCTTCCACCACGTCTTACCAAGACCCATCAGGAGAAGAATAATTTGATGAGAGTTCCAAAGATTGTAGCTAGAGGAGCCATATTAAGTAATGTACTACAATCATGTTATTTATCATGGTATGTTGTTTTTTATGTTAGAGAAATTCATTTTGAGCTCTGGCATTTTTCAAAATGATTCATCTTAAAGTATACTAGACTGGTGAATAGTTCGTGAAATTACAACAGACAGACAAATACAATAGAAGGTATAGAAATACAAATAGAAGAATGTATCATCCAGCTCAAAACCTGTAATTTTGCAACACATTATCCAGAATCAATGAACCTAATTGCAGTAAGTGTTTAACTTGGGGGAATCACTTCCCCATTGTAATTAAGCTCTAATGTTCTTATCTGTAAAATACAGGGGTTACACTAAATAGTTAATATATTTCTATTTCAATTCTGTCACTCTGTAATCATACAGATTACTCCCTTTAAGTGAGATTTAATACTTCAAAGATTAACAGTATGCTAAAATATATATGTATACATACACACTCTCACAGTAACTACCCTGGAGTCATTTCTGATTCATAGTGATCCTATACAACAGAGTAGAACTGCCTCTGGAGGGTTCTGGGACTGTAAATCTTTAAAGGAATAGAAAGCCTCATCTTTCTCTCATGGATCGGCTGTTGATTTTGAACTGCAGACCTTGTGAGTAGCAGCCCAGTGTGTAACTACTACACCACCAGGGCTGCATAATATGGCAATTAACCATTGACATAATTTTGTCTTAGTATACAAGGGTTATTATTGTCAGTCAGTTGTAGGCTCATTGAAATGTGGACTTAATCAGGACGTCTAACTTTGAAAGCCAAATAACAGTGTGTACCATGCAAGATAAATTTTGAGAGGGACTGAAGAAATATGCTCATATTTCTTGGGTGAATGTGGATAGTGAATTTCATGTTCTCACGATTTCAAGTATTCAAGAGACCTAACTAAACTTTAAAAAAAAGAATCCATTCTATTAATAGGCTAACTTCCAAGTCTTCTGGAGAAGAAATTTTTAACCTGAGCCCCACGGCGAGAAGGAATTTGTGGGATCCATGAACTTGAAAAGGAAGAGGTGAAAAGGCTTTTATTTTTCATAAGCTGTAGCAAAAATGTTATTTTCCCTTTCATTAATGAACTGGCCACAAACAGCAGTGGTGTTAACCAGTATCTGTGATCCTTCATGAATAGGAATCAGCACTGGATTGTGATTCTAATACCCAAGTCTGGATCTTGGTGAATAGCTCAAGAAAGCAGCACTGATTTACTTTTTGAGAAGGCCTCTGTAGGTTTCACCAGAGTACCAAAGGGTTCTATACCACTAGAAACAGTCGCGCACTTCTTCGATGAGGGTGATATTAGCAGAAATTGTTTGAGTGCACCCGGATTTTGGTGTACAGTTTCCAGTTAGGGGACAAGGCAGAGGAAATGTGCCGGTCCAGACAATGGAATGAAGAGGGACATGCTCACAATTTGAGAAGAGCTGGGTTGCAGCCCTGGCCCTATGTGAACCTATCCAAATTCTTATTTTCTCTAAACCTCAGTTCCCTACTTACAA